AATATAAAATATTTATGTGTTAATTAAATAGTATGTGCTCTATAATAATTTAATTTCTAAATTATACAACAATTTTCAATATACTATTTTAACTTTATTTTAATTAATAATTATAATAAATTGGGTAAAAAATATTGTGTATATAAAAGCGATAGTTTTTGTATTTTTCACGTTTATTAGAAATCATATAAGTCGTATGTTTAATGAGTACATGAATAGACACTGATGTACATAATTGAGTTATTATAAAAGGTACCAAAACTTTTACTTTATTCTAATAACAGTAATAATGACATGTAAATAACTGGAGGGACTTATAATGTTGCTATAGTTATACTATGGCATAGACTTCAAAGGGAGTTCACAACTCAATTACTAATGTTATGCGTTATTGATGTTAATATTGAGTCACTTTTTATTTCAAATTCAAATATAAAAACCAAAACAATTCAACAAATTGTGTGAAAAATGAATAATTTTTTATTCAAATCTTAATTTAATTTGATTTTATATACAATTAGTTTATCCGTCAATCGTGTCATGTGTTTGTCTGCCGTCGGAAGCGATGTCTGAGGCGTCGGGTGTTGTGTCGGCCAGTGATGAGAGGTTTGCATTGAATTTGTACTCAATTTTGTCATAAATTGTGTGAAAATGTTAACAATATTTGTATGAAAAGCAGTGAAACACTCACTTATGAAGCGATTCTCGAGTCGTTTGTCACAAACAATACATTCAAATGTGATTACAATGAATGCGACAAAAGATTTTCATCTCAACAACGATTGGATTCACATAAACAAAGAAGACATGCCATTGGAGTCAACCTCCCGGTGCCCGACGTGTCCACTATTACTCCATTAGCGGACAGACTACTTCAAGCACTGAGCGTTAGGGATGAGCCTATTACTGAGACTCCAGTGCCAAACACTGCAACTCCTATCGATAACTCCACACAAATCGATACAAATGACAAGTAATTGTGTTTTGCATTAATTTTTATAATTAATTGATTTCTACATATATTTTGCCATAAAATAGTTCAATAAATGCTGACCTCACGTCTGGCTATGTCTGTGATTACCGTAATTGTGGAAAAATATTTAGCGAAAAATATTTGCTCAATAGGCACACAAAACGCGATCATTTGATTACTAGTGAACCGTTTAATTGTGTGTTCAGTGGTTGCCATAAAAGCTTTAAAAACAATAAGAAACTCAATCAACACCTCATAGACATTCATAAGCCGTTTCCGTGTGATTATCCCGATTGTCAACAAGTATTTGCTTATGAAGTAGATCTATGTCTACACAAAAATAGTAGCCATTCGTTGGTCACTAAACGGCGCTATTCCTACTTCAGCGCCGATAGCCATTCAAATGCAAACACTTCTCAAACGTATTTATTTTTCACATAATTAGGTGTTTTTTGTTGCAATGTATTGCTTAATGCTTTTTGACCCTCAAAACAGGTCTTCTAATACTCCAGTGCCGACTACTGGCACAACAGATCTACGAGACCCGAGGCTACGTAAGAGGTTAGGCTTGCCTACCGGGGCTCACAATAATTCAGTCACTAATTCACACCAAAAGTAAGTCTCAGTGGTTTGCAATCAATAGAAATTGAATTGTATTTAGAAATTAATTATTTTGTGATTAAAATAGCCATCAAAACGCTAGTCATTCAAATACATTCCAAATGCCGGATAAACAGCCGGCGCTCGCCATTTCCCACATCCATACCGTTCATAAGTATGTGTTTTATAAACTAAAATGTTTTAGAAATTTAAATTATAAA